GGAAGTGAGTAGCTAGGTGGGGGGAAGTGAGTAGCTGGGTGGGGGGAAGTGAGTAGCTGTGTGGGGGGAAGTGAGTAGCTGGGTGGGGGGAAGTGAGTAGCTGGGTGGGGGGAAGTGAGTAGCTGTGTGGGGGGAAGTGAGTAGCTGTGTGGGGGGAAGTGAGTAGCTAGGTGGGGGGAAGTGAGTAGCTGGGTGGGGGGAAGTGAGTAGCTGGGTGGGGGGAAGTGAGTAGCTAGGTGGGGGGAAGTGAGTAGCTGTGTGGGGGGAAGTGAGTAGCTGGGTGGGGGGAAGTGAGTAGCTGTGTGGGGGGAAGTGAGTAGCTGTGTGGGGGGAAGTGAGTAGCTGGGTGGGGGGAAGTGAGTAGCTGGGTGGGGGGAAGTGAGTAGCTGGGTGGGGGGAAGTGAGTAGCTGTGTGGGGGGAAGTGAGTAGCTGTGTGGGGGGAAGTGAGTAGCTGGGTGGGGGGAAGTGAGTAGCTGTGTGTGGGGAAGTGAGTAGCTGTGTGGGGGGAAGTGAGTAGCTGGGTGGGGGGAAGTGAGTAGCTGTGTGGGGGGAAGTGAGTAGCTGTGTGGGGGGAAGTGAGTAGCTAGGTGGGGGGAAGTGAGTAGCTGGGTGGGGGGAAGTGAGTAGCTGTGTGGGGGGAAGTGAGTAGCTGGGTGGGGGGAAGTGAGTAGCTGTGTGGGGGGAAGTGAGTAGCTGTGTGGGGGGAAGTGAGTAGCTGTGTGGGGGGAAGTGAGTAGCTAGGTGGGGGGAAGTAAGTAGCTGGGTGGGGGGAAGTGAGTAGCTGGGTGGGGGGAAGTGAGTAGCTAGGTGGGGGGAAGTAAGTAGCTGGGTGGGGGGAAGTGAGTAGCTGGGTGGGGGGAAGTGAGTAGCTGGGTGGGGGGAAGTGAGTAGCTGTGTGGGGGGAAGTGAGTAGCTGTGTGGGGGGAAGTGAGTAGCTGGGTGGGGGGAAGTGAGTAGCTGGGTGGGGGGAAGTGAGTAGCTAGGTGGGGGAAGTGAGTAGCTGGGTGGGGGAAAGTGAGTAGCTGTGTGGGGGGAAGTGAGTAGCTGTGTGGGGGGAAGTGAGTAGCTGTGTGGGGGGAAGTGAGTAGCTGGGTGGGGGGAAGTGAGTAGCTGTGTGGGGGGAAGTGAGTAGCTGTGTGGGGGGAAGTGAGTAGCTGTGTGGGGGGAAGTGAGTAGCTGGGTGGGGGGAAGTGAGTAGCTGTGTGGGGGGAAGTAAGTTGCTGGGTGGGGGGAAGTGAGTAGCTGGGTGGGGGAAGTGAGTAGCTGGGTGGGGGAAAGTGAGTAGCTGGGTGGGGGGAAGTGAGTAGCTGTGTGGGGGGAAGTGAGTAGCTGTGTGGGGGGAAGTGAGTAGCTGGGTGGGGGGAAGTGAGTAGCTGTGTGGGGGGAAGTGAGTAGCTGGGTGGGGGGAAGTGAGTAGCTGGGTGGGGGGAAGTGAGTAGCTGTGTGGGGGGAAGTGAGTAGCTGTGTGGGGGGAAGTGAGTAGCTGGGTGGGGGAAAGTGAGTAGCTGGGTGGGGGGAAGTGAGTAGCTGTGTGGGGGGAAGTGAGTAGCTGTGTGGGGGGAAGTGAGTAGCTGTGTGGGGGGAAGTGAGTAGCTGGGTGGGGGGAAGTGAGTAGCTGGGTGGGGGGAAGTGAGTAGCTGGGTGGGGGGAAGTGAGTAGCTGTGTGGGGGGAAGTGAGTAGCTGGGTGGGGGGAAGTGAGTAGCTGTGTGGGGGGAAGTGAGTAGCTGGGTGGGGGGAAGTGAGTAGCTGTGTGGGGGGAAGTGAGTAGCTAGGTGGGGGGAAGTGAGTAGCTGGGTGGGGGGAAGTAAGTAGCTGGGTGGGGGGAAGTGAGTAGCTGTGTGGGGGGAAGTGAGTAGCTGTGTGGGGGGAAGTGAGTAGCTGGGTGGGGGGAAGTGAGTAGCTGGGTGGGGGGAAGTGAGTAGCTGGGTGGGGGGAAGTGAGTAGCTGGGTGGGGGGAAGTAAGTAGCTGGGTGGGGGGAAGTGAGTAGCTGGGTGGGGGGAAGTGAGTAGCTGTGTGGGGGGAAGTGAGTAGCTGTGTGGGGGGAAGTGAGTAGCTGTGTGGGGGGAAGTGAGTAGCTGTGTGGGGGGAAGTGAGTAGCTGGGTGGGGGGAAGTGAGTAGCTGTGTGGGGGGAAGTGAGTAGCTGTGTGGGGGGAAGTGAGTAGCTGGGTGGGGGGAAGTGAGTAGCTGGGTGGGGGGAAGTGAGTAGCTGGGTGGGGGGAAGTGAGTAGCTGTGTGGGGGGAAGTGAGTAGCTAGGTGGGGGGAAGTAAGTAGCTGGGTGGGGGGAAGTGAGTAGCTGGGTGGGGGGAAGTGAGTAGCTAGGTGGGGGGAAGTAAGTTGCTGGGTGGGGGGAAGTGAGTAGCTGGGTGGGGGGAAGTGAGTAGCTAGGTGGGGGGAAGTGAGTAGCTGGGTGGGGGGAAGTGAGTAGCTGGGTGGGGGGAAGTGAGTAGCTGGGTGGGGGGAAGTGAGTAGCTGTGTGGGGGGAAGTGAGTAGCTGTGTGGGGGGAAGTGAGTAGCTGGGTGGGGGGAAGTGAGTAGCTGTGTGGGGGGAAGTGAGTAGCTGTGTGGGGGGAAGTGAGTAGCTGGGTGGGGGGAAGTGAGTAGCTGTGTGGGGGGAAGTGAGTAGCTGTGTGGGGGGAAGTGAGTAGCTGTGTGGGGGGAAGTGAGTAGCTGTGTGGGGGGAAGTGAGTAGCTAGGTGGGGGGAAGTGAGTAGCTGGGTGGGGGGAAGTGAGTAGCTGTGTGGGGGGAAGTGAGTAGCTGTGTGGGGGGAAGTGAGTAGCTGTGTGGGGGGAAGTGAGTAGCTAGGTGGGGGGAAGTAAGTAGCTGGGTGGGGGGAAGTGAGTAGCTGGGTGGGGGGAAGTGAGTAGCTAGGTGGGGGGAAGTAAGTAGCTGGGTGGGGGGAAGTGAGTAGCTGGGTGGGGGGAAGTGAGTAGCTGGGTGGGGGGAAGTGAGTAGCTGTGTGGGGGGAAGTGAGTAGCTGTGTGGGGGGAAGTGAGTAGCTGGGTGGGGGGAAGTGAGTAGCTGGGTGGGGGGAAGTGAGTAGCTAGGTGGGGGAAGTGAGTAGCTGGGTGGGGGAAAGTGAGTAGCTGTGTGGGGGGAAGTGAGTAGCTGGGTGGGGGGAAGTGAGTAGCTGTGTGGGGGGAAGTGAGTAGCTGTGTGGGGGGAAGTGAGTAGCTGGGTGGGGGAAGTGAGTAGCTGGGTGGGGGAAAGTGAGTAGCTGGGTGGGGGGAAGTGAGTAGCTGTGTGGGGGGAAGTGAGTAGCTGGGTGGGGGGAAGTGAGTAGCAGGGTGGGGGGAAGTGAGTAGCTGTGTGGGGGGAAGTGAGTAGCTGTGTGGGGGGAAGTGAGTAGCTGTGTGGGGGGAAGTGAGTAGCTGGGTGGGGGGAAGTGAGTAGCTGTGTGGGGGGAAGTGAGTAGCTGGGTGGGGGGAAGTGAGTAGCTGGGTGGGGGGAAGTGAGTAGCTGTGTGGGGGGAAGTGAGTAGCTGTGTGGGGGGAAGTGAGTAGCTAGGTGGGGGGAAGTAAGTAGCTGGGTGGGGGGAAGTGAGTAGCTGGGTGGGGGGAAGTGAGTAGCTAGGTGGGGGGAAGTAAGTAGCTGGGTGGGGGGAAGTGAGTAGCTGTGTGGGGGGAAGTGAGTAGCTGGGTGGGGGGAAGTGAGTAGCTGTGTGGGGGGAAGTGAGTAGCTGGGTGGGGGGAAGTGAGTAGCTGTGTGGGGGGAAGTGAGTAGCTAGGTGGGGGGAAGTGAGTAGCTGGGTGGGGGGAAGTAAGTAGCTGGGTGGGGGGAAGTGAGTAGCTGGGTGGGGGGAAGTGAGTAGCTGGGTGGGGGGAAGTGAGTAGCTGGGTGGGGGGAAGTAAGTAGCTGGGTGGGGGGAAGTGAGTAGCTGGGTGGGGGGAAGTGAGTAGCTGTGTGGGGGGAAGTGAGTAGCTGTGTGGGGGGAAGTGAGTAGCTGGGTGGGGGGAAGTGAGTAGCTGGGTGGGGGGAAGTGAGTAGCTAGGTGGGGGAAGTGAGTAGCTGGGTGGGGGAAAGTGAGTAGCTGTGTGGGGGGAAGTGAGTAGCTGTGTGGGGGGAAGTGAGTAGCTGTGTGGGGGGAAGTGAGTAGCTGGGTGGGGGGAAGTGAGTAGCTGTGTGGGGGGAAGTGAGTAGCTGTGTGGGGGGAAGTGAGTAGCTGTGTGGGGGGAAGTGAGTAGCTGGGTGGGGGGAAGTGAGTAGCTGTGTGGGGGGAAGTAAGTTGCTGGGTGGGGGGAAGTGAGTAGCTGGGTGGGGGAAGTGAGTAGCTGGGTGGGGGAAAGTGAGTAGCTGGGTGGGGGGAAGTGAGTAGCTGTGTGGGGGGAAGTGAGTAGCTGGGTGGGGGAAAGTGAGTAGCTGGGTGGGGGGAAGTGAGTAGCTGTGTGGGGGGAAGTGAGTAGCTGTGTGGGGGGAAGTGAGTAGCTGTGTGGGGGGAAGTGAGTAGCTGGGTGGGGGGAAGTGAGTAGCTGTGTGGGGGGAAGTGAGTAGCTGGGTGGGGGGAAGTGAGTAGCTGTGTGGGGGGAAGTGAGTAGCTGGGTGGGGGGAAGTGAGTAGCTGGGTGGGGGGAAGTAAGTAGCTGGGTGGGGGGAAGTGAGTAGCTGGGTGGGGGGAAGTGAGTAGCTGTGTGGGGGGAAGTGAGTAGCTGTGTGGGGGGAAGTGAGTAGCTGTGTGGGGGGAAGTGAGTAGCTGTGTGGGGGGAAGTGAGTAGCTGGGTGGGGGGAAGTGAGTAGCTGGGTGGGGGGAAGTGAGTAGCTGTGTGGGGGGAAGTGAGTAGCTGGGTGGGGGGAAGTGAGTAGCTGTGTGGGGGGAAGTGAGTAGCTAGGTGGGGGGAAGTGAGTAGCTGGGTGGGGGGAAGTGAGTAGCTGTGTGGGGGGAAGTGAGTAGCTGTGTGGGGGGAAGTGAGTAGCTGTGTGGGGGGAAGTGAGTAGCTAGGTGGGGGGAAGTAAGTAGCTGGGTGGGGGGAAGTGAGTAGCTGGGTGGGGGGAAGTGAGTAGCTAGGTGGGGGGAAGTAAGTAGCTGGGTGGGGGGAAGTGAGTAGCTGGGTGGGGGGAAGTCAGTAGCTGGGTGGGGGGAAGTGAGTAGCTGTGTGGGGGGAAGTGAGTAGCTGTGTGGGGGGAAGTGAGTAGCTGGGTGGGGGGAAGTGAGTAGCTGGGTGGGGGGAAGTGAGTAGCTAGGTGGGGGGAAGTAAGTAGCTGGGTGGGGGGAAGTGAGTAGCTGGGTGGGGGGAAGTGAGTAGCTAGGTGGGGGGAAGTAAGTTGCTGGGTGGGGGGAAGTGAGTAGCTGGGTGGGGGAAGTGAGTAGCTGGGTGGGGGGAAGTGAGTAGCTGGGTGGGGGGAAGTGAGTAGCTGGGTGGGGGGAAGTGAGTAGCTGGGTGGGGGGAAGTGAGTAGCTGGGTGGGGGGAAGTGAGTAGCTGTGTGGGGGGAAGTGAGTAGCTGTGTGGGGGGAAGTGAGTAGCTAGGTGGGGGGAAGTAAGTAGCTGGGTGGGGGGAAGTGAGTAGCTGGGTGGGGGGAAGTGAGTAGCTAGGTGGGGGGAAGTAAGTTGCTGGGTGGGGGGAAGTGAGTAGCTGGGTGGGGGGAAGTGAGTAGCTGGGTGGGGGGAAGTGAGTAGCTGTGTGGGGGGAAGTGAGTAGCTGTGTGGGGGGAAGTGAGTAGCTGGGTGGGGGGAAGTGAGTAGCTGTGTGGGGGGAAGTGAGTAGCTGTGTGGGGGGAAGTGAGTAGCTGGGTGGGGGGAAGTGAGTAGCTGGGTGGGGGGAAGTGAGTAGCTGTGCGGGGGGAAGTGAGTAGCTGGGTGGGGGGAAGTGAGTAGCTGGGTGGGGGGAAGTGAGTAGCTGTGTGGGGGGAAGTGAGTAGCTGGGTGGGGGGAAGTGAGTAGCTGTGTGGGGGGAAGTGAGTAGCTGTGTGGGGGGAAGTGAGTAGCTGTGTGGGGGGAAGTGAGTAGCTGGGTGGGGGGAAGTGAGTAGCTGTGTGGGGGGAAGTGAGTAGCTGTGTGGGGGGAAGTGAGTAGCTGGGTGGGGGGAAGTGAGTAGCTGGGTGGGGGGAAGTGAGTAGCTGTGTGGGGGGAAGTGAGTAGCTGTGTGGGGGGAAGTGAGTAGCTGTGTGGGGGGAAGTGAGTAGCTGTGTGGGGGGAAGTGAGTAGCTGGGTGGGGGGAAGTGAGTAGCTGGGTGGGGGGAAGTGAGTAGCTAGGTGGGGGGAAGTAAGTAGCTGGGTGGGGGGAAGTGAGTAGCTGGGTGGGGGGAAGTGAGTAGCTGGGTGGGGGGAAGTGAGTAGCTGGGTGGGGGGAAGTGAGTAGCTGTGTGGGGGGAAGTGAGTAGCTGTGTGGGGGGAAGTAAGTAGCTGGGTGGGGGGAAGTGAGTAGCTGGGTGGGGGGAAGTGAGTAGCTAGGTGGGGGGAAGTAAGTAGCTGGGTGGGGGGAAGTGAGTAGCTGGGTGGGGGGAAGTCAGTAGCTGGGTGGGGGGAAGTGAGTAGCTGTGTGGGGGGAAGTGAGTAGCTGGGTGGGGGGAAGTGAGTAGCTGTGTGGGGGGAAGTGAGTAGCTGTGTGGGGGGAAGTGAGTAGCTGGGTGGGGGGAAGTGAGTAGCTGGGTGGGGGGAAGTGAGTAGCTGTGTGGGGGGAAGTGAGTAGCTGTGTGGGGGGAAGTGAGTAGCTGTGTGGGGGGAAGTGAGTAGCTGTGTGGGGGGAAGTGAGTAGCTGGGTGGGGGGAAGTGAGTAGCTGGGTGGGGGGAAGTGAGTAGCTAGGTGGGGGGAAGTAAGTAGCTGGGTGGGGGGAAGTGAGTAGCTGGGTGGGGGGAAGTGAGTAGCTGGGTGGGGGGAAGTGAGTAGCTTTGTGGGGGGAAGTGAGTAGCTGGGTGGGGGGAAGTGAGTAGCTGGGTGGGGGGAAGTGAGTAGCTGGGTGGGGGGAAGTGAGTAGCTGGGTGGGGGGAAGTGAGTAGCTGGGTGGGGGGAAGTGAGTAGCTGTGTGGGGGGAAGTGAGTAGCTGTGTGGGGGGAAGTGAGTAGCTGGGTGGGGGGAAGTGAGTAGCTGGGTGGGGGGAAGTGAGTAGCTAGGTGGGGGGAAGTAAGTAGCTGGGTGGGGGGAAGTGAGTAGCTGGGTGGGGGGAAGTCAGTAGCTGGGTGGGGGGAAGTGAGTAGCTGTGTGGGGGGAAGTGAGTAGCTGGGTGGGGGGAAGTAAGTAGCTGGGTGGGGGGAAGTGAGTAGCTGTGTGGGTGGAAGTGAGTAGCTGTGTGGGGGGAAGTGAGTAGCTGTGTGGGGGGAAGTGAGTAGCTGGGTGGGGGGAAGTGAGTAGCTGTGTGGGGGGAAGTGAGTAGCTGTGTGGGGGGAAGTGCGTAGCTGTGTGGGGGGAAGTGAGTAGCTGGGTGGGGGGAAGTGAGTAGCTGTGTGGGGGGAAGTGAGTAGCTGTGTGGGGGGAAGTGAGTAGCTGGGTGAGGGGAAGTGAGTAGCTGGGTGGGGGGAAGTGAGTAGCTGGGTGGGGGGAAGTGAGTAGCTGTGTGGGGGGAAGTGAGTAGCTGGGTGGGGGGAAGTGCGTAGCTGTGTGGGGGGAAGTGAGTAGCTGGGTGGGGGGAAGTGAGTAGCTGTGTGGGGGGAAGTGAGTAGCTGGGTGGGGGGAAGTGAGTAGCTGGGTGGGGGGAAGTGAGTAGCTGTGTGGGGGGAAGTGAGTAGCTGTGTGGGGGGAAGTGAGTAGCTGGGTGGGGGGAAGTGAGTAGCTGGGTGGGGGGAAGTGAGTAGCTGTGTGGGGGGAAGTGAGTAGCTGGGTGGGGGGAAGTGAGTAGCTGTGTGGGGGGAAGTGAGTAGCTGGGTGGGGGGAAGTGAGTAGCTGGGTGGGGGGAAGTGAGTAGCTGTGTGGGGGGAAGTGAGTAGCTGTGTGGGGGGAAGTGAGTAGCTGGGTGGGGGGAAGTGAGTAGCTGGGTGGGGGGAAGTGAGTAGCTGTGTGGGGGGAAGTGAGTAGCTGTGTGGGGGGAAGTGAGTAGCTGTGTGGGGGGAAGTGAGTAGCTAGGTGGGGGGAAGTAAGTAGCTGGGTGGGGGGAAGTGAGTAGCTGGGTGGGGGGAAGTGAGTAGCTAGGTGGGGGGAAGTAAGTAGCTGGGTGGGGGGAAGTGAGTAGCTGGGTGGGGGGAAGTGAGTAGCTGGGTGGGGGGAAGTGAGTAGCTGTGTGGGGGGAAGTGAGTAGCTGTGTGGGGGGAAGTGAGTAGCTAGGTGGGGGGAAGTAAGTAGCTGGGTGGGGGGAAGTGAGTAGCTGGGTGGGGGGAAGTGAGTAGCTGTGTGGGGGGAAGTGAGTAGCTGGGTGGGGGGAAGTGAGTAGCTGTGTGGGGGGAAGTGAGTAGCTAGGTGGGGGGAAGTAAGTAGCTGGGTGGGGGGAAGTGAGTAGCTGGGTGAGTGGAAGTGAGTAGCTGTGTGGGGGGAAGTGAGTAGCTGTGTGGGGGGAAGTGAGTAGCTGTGTGGGGGGAAGTGAGTAGCTGTGTGGGGGGAAGTGAGTAGCTGGGTGGGGGGAAGTGAGTAGCTGTGTGGGGGGAAGTAAGTAGCTGGGTGGGGGGAAGTGAGTAGCTGTGTGGGGGGAGGTAAGTAGCCCAAAGAAGGTAGCGCGGTGGGGGAAAGGGAAGTAAGTAGCTACTTGGGGGGGAAAGTTAGTAGTTGGATGGGGGGATGTTAGAAGCTGGGTGGGGAGAAGTAATTAGCAGGATGGGGGGGAAGGTCATAGCTGGGTGGGGGGATGGTAGACGCTGGATGGGGGGAAGTAGGTAGCTGGATGGAGGGAAGTAAATAGCCTGCTGGGGGGTAGTAAACAGCTGCATGGGGGAAACTGAATAGCTGGGTGGGGGAAAGTAAGTGCCGGTGTTGGGTAATACAATGAGAGTGAGGGGCGTGGAGAATGCAAGTAAGGGCTGCGTGTGGAAATGGTTACATAGATGGCCACCTTTTTATTTTTCAAAGTCGACCGCGCGAATGTCTTCTTGTCGCGTGGACAGTAGTCACGGTGCGGGTGCGGGCGATGAGTCACGCGTCGCCTTCCTACCGTTACCCTATTCTTCGGTTTGCGAGTTTTATGCCTTTCTACCCTACTTTTCGCGCTGTTCTATGGCGATAATGCAACATGCCGCCTCCGCACCTCCACGCCCCATAATCATATGTCATTTGGGGGGCTCTCCACTGACGAAATCCTTGTTGTGCTGCCCGGTTCCCTCCCCATTGGTGTCCTGCCACGATGGTTCTATATATCTAAACACACTCGCTGTGATTCCACACATTTCGCCTAACCCTATCTCTTATAACCCTAAACATAATCCCTTCGCGTCATTAGAAGAAATGCGCGTTGCTTGCCTATTCACATTCTCCGGCGCCTGGTTCCTGATGTGTATTGGCGGTTGGTTGGTGTGGCGAGACAGTGCGAGACGTTTTCTTCACTCATCACTGTGGTGTCTGGGAGGGTGGCGGAAATGGAAGGTCGTTCCGCAGCCCCTAGCTGCAGGCAGGCGCAGATTTAATTCAGTGAGCCACAATTCGCCCACTTTCGTATTTCTCGCCACATCCATTCTTCCTAGTGTATTTTCGTTCCTGCCAAACTTTTTTCGCCGAACACCAATTTCTTTCCGATGGGAGTACACCCATTATGAATGTGCACCCTGGTTTTAAAACAGTGCAGACTTGTCAGGGAGGTTTGAAAATTGTTTCGCTCGACAAGCACACTTTCAAGCTGGTCCGGGGTTCACTATTTTGCATTTCGGTTGTAAGCTAGGTTACCCTCAACTGAAGGTTTCTAAGGAGTGAGCTTTGCAACATCAATTGCTCCCGATTTGCGAAAGACGAAATATACCTGCTGGCCCGGAGGACAATAACTCCCCCCTACTTTTAGCCGCGGCGAATTCCACGACAGGTTGCGCGAAGTTTCTGGGGTAACCACTAGACAATTGCCTGTCGCGTCCATCCCAAAGAAATAAGCCCCGAATGGTAAAAAATATTGCAATTAGCTCTTGCAGCACCAGCAGATATTCCCGTGAACCGCGTTCCCTCGTGAACACTCCACATTGTCACTTGCGTTCCGTTCCCCTGTGCCACGATTCGCTTCAAGCGATCGTTTGTTCTCTGATTGAGTTCGGCAGTGAAACGAGGAAGGAGAATCGATGCAAGTTCGACGGCTGATAAACAGGCAAGGCCATTCGGAGGAAATCGACGGGCGATAGGCGTCGTTGCGTCCCTGAGATTCTAGAAGTCGTCGATTCGCAGCAAGGACAGATCCTGGCCATGGATCCTACCACGATTGTCAAGGCAGCCAATCCGTGGGTGCCACGTGGACGCGTGGTGGATGAAAAGCAGAAAGTGCTGCGAACCGTACAAGGGTACGTACGGCCGTTAAATTGTACCCGTTTTAGGCTGGTGCGAACAATGGACATCAACCCGTCCCCCTTGCCCGATTCCCACTTCCCCTCCGTCCCTGCACCCACTCCTTCCCCTCCCCCCTTGCACTCACTCCTTCCCCCTCGTTTCCCTCTGCAGCATTCGCAACAAGCTCACGCCTGAGATGTTCCATCCGCTTTTTTCAGAAGCACCACCCATCCCCGCTTCGCCTTACCCCCCTTTCCCTGCCCCCCCTTCGCCCGTCACCCCCTTCCCGCTTCCCCCTTCCCCAAGGCAGCATTCTGAACAAGCTTACACCTGAGATGCACGACCCGCCTTTCCAACAGTTCCTGACCGCGTTTTAGTCGACTCAAGACCCCCTCCCCGTTCCCCCTCCCCTCCCCCCCACCCCCACACCCTCTTTCTCCCCTTCCCTTTCTCTCCGCAGCATTCTGAACAAGCTCACACCTGAGATGTTCGATCCACTCTTCCAGCAACTCCTGACAGCTGGCATCAACACATCTGAGATCCTCCAGGTGAATTCAACAGAGCATGCATGTTTCGTTTCATTTCAGGTGAATTCAACGGAGGAAGTTCATGCCTCCACACCATCTGTTTTTCGTGCTTGTTTCCTCGATACAAGCAAACCTCACTAAAAAGTCTGGGCCATTCCCCTCTCGTTCTCCCTATTTTGTGGAATATTTACATAAAACACCCTACCCCCCCACCTGCTTCCTCTCTGTTTGAGTGTATAATTCACGAAATGCTAACCCCCCCTCCTCTCCCCTCCCTGCTCTCCACAACCCCCTTCCCCCTCTCCCCCCCCCTCACTCAGGAGGTGATCTCTCTCATTTTCACCAAGGCAGTAGACGAACCCACCTTCTGCCCGATGTATGCTGCCCTCTGCGAAAAACTTTCGCGAGCGCTGCCCGAGTTTCCGCCGTCCAATGGGGCAGGGGGAGAGGAAGGGGAGCCGATTTCATTTCGCCGTGTTCTGCTGGGCACGTGTCAGGAGGAGTTTGAACGCGCTGCTAAGCAGAGACTGCAGGTGGGGTGCAGTGTGGTGCCGTGGGATATGGTGCGGTGGGGTGGGGTAAGGTGGGGAAGGGTGCGGTGGGGTGCGGTGGGGCACGGTGGCAAGTGGTTGCGGGTAATGGCTCGAGGAACCTGTGTTCTGCTGGGCACGTGTCAGGAGGAGTTAGAACGCGCTGCTAAGCTGAGACTGCAGGTGGGGTGCGGTGCAGTGGGGTGGTGTGTGGTGGCGAATGATTGTGAACGAGGGTAATGGCCCGAGGAACCTGTGGTGCTGGGCAGGTGTCAGGAGGAGTTTGAATGTGCGGATAAGCTAGAAGCGATTGCCTGGTCTGCCTTCTCCCTTTCTCTCTCCCTCCCTCTCGCTCTTGCCAGGCTGGCGAGTTGCTGGAGTCGTTGCAGTCGTTGCAGTCATTGCAGTCATTGCAGTCATTGCAGTCGTTGCAGTCATTGCAGTCATTGCAGTCATTGCAGGAGGGAAGCACGGAAGGGTGCGAGGGAGGAGAGGAGAGACGGGGGTGAACACAGAAGGAAGATGAATTTGAAATGTGTCCTCTTATGTGCGCCCTTCTCTCTCTGTCTCGCTTTGCGCTGTGGCAGGCTGGCGAGTTGCTGGAGTCGTTGCAGGAGGGAAGCACGGAAGGGTGCGAGGGAGGAGAGGAGGGAGGAGAGGAGGGAGGAGAGGAGGGAGGGAGAGCATTGAGGGAAAGGGATTCCAATAGCTCTCCTCCTCCGCCCCCCCTGCTCTCTCTCTCTTCCTCGCTTTGCCCTGTGGCAGGCTGGCGAGCTGCTGGAGTCGTTGCAGGAGGGAAGCACGGAAGGAGAGGAGGGAGGAGAGGAGGGAGGAGAAGAGGAGGAGGGAGAAGAGGATGGGGAAGAAGGGGAGGGGAAAGGAGGGGAGGGGGGAGACGGGGAGGGGGAAGAAGGGGAGGGGGGGAGAAGGGGAAGGAGCAAAGACAAGGAGAAGAAGAAGGAGGAGAAGGAGAAAGGGAGAGGGAGAGAGGGGAGAAGGGGTGGGAGAAGGCGAGGGAGATGAGGAGGAGAGTGGGAGAGAGGGAGAGAAAGATACAAACGAGGATGATGAAAGGGAGAAGAGGGAGAAGGGGAAAGAGGAGGAGAAGGAGCAGCGGAAAGCCAAGGCTCGGACACTGGGAAACATCAGGCTGATAGGGGAGCTGTTTCTTCAGAGAATGATCCCAGAGAGGGTGGTTCATGCGTGTGTGCAGGTGAGTGGAGTGTTGGGACGCTTCAGAGGCTGCTGGGAAAAATCAGGCTGATAGGGGAGCTGTTTCTTCAGAGAATGATTCCAGAGAGGGTGGTTCATGCGTGTGTGCAGGTGAGTTGGATTGGATGGGTGTGGGTGTGTGCAGGCGGGTGGTTTGACTTGACTCTTATGTAAGAGCTGTGTGTGTGCTGCTCACAATCACAAAAGGTTGTCATCTTCAGAGGAGCACGTCGTGTGCATTTCGGCATCCTTGCCCCCTTCCCCCCGACTCCCCCCTCCCCTCGCTTCTCTCCTTCAGGACCTTCTGGGTGATCCTGCTTCCGTCCCCCCTCCCTCCCACCCATGTAGAGGCTGTATGTGTGCTGCTCACAATAGCAGAGGGGGGTTGTTGGTTTGGTTGGTACACACGTTGTTCTCATGCTCAACCCCTCACCTCCCCCTCACTTCCCTCCCTCTCTCAGGATCTTTTGGGCGATCCTGCGTCCGTCCCTCCTCCCTCCCACGTGGAAGCAGGGTGTGTGCTGCTCACGATAGCAGGGGGGCCGATGGAGAGGAGTGGGAGAGCTCCGCTGCTGCTTGAAGGGTATCTTAGGCATGTGAAATACTTAGCTAAGTACAAGGGTACTGAAAAGGATCAGCTGGTAAATGCTTCACGGAACGCACTGAGCCGGTTGTATCTGCAGCAAAATTCCAGGGAGCATCAGCCACAGCATCAGCAGCAGCAGCAGCAGCAGCACCAGCAGCAGCAGCAGCAGCAGCATCAGCACCAGCAGCAGCACCAGCACCAGCAGCAACAGCAGTTTCCTCTTTTCCCTCCTCCGCTCACTCCTTCCCTGCCGCCCACCCTCCCTCCGCCGCTCTCCTCCCGCCTTCGATTCATGTGCCAAGAGCTTCTTGCTCTTCGGAGGAACGGGTGGGTGCCTCGGAAGGAAGAGGTGACAGCCAAGCCTATTGGACAGGTTTGGGCCGAAGCGGAGGCAGAGCTAGGGTTGGTGGGTGGGGGAGGAGGGAGGGGAGGAGGGAGAGGAGGGAGGGGGAAGGGGAAGAAAAAGGCAGGAGGGAGAGGAGGGGTAGGGATGGGGGGAATGGGAATGCATGGAGGTGTGGGGATGGGAGGTGGGGTGGGAATGGGAGGGATGGGAATGGGAGGGATGGGAATGGGAGGTGTGGGAATGGGAGGGATGGGAATGGGAGTGCCGGGAATGGGAGGTGTGGGAATGGGAGGGATGGGAATGGGAGGTGTGGGAATGGGAGGTGTGGGAATGGGAGGGATGGGAATGGGAGGTGTGGGAATGGGAGGGATGGGAATGGGAGGGATGGGAATGGGAGGGATGGGAATGGGAGGGATGGGAATGGTAGGGATGGGGATGCAGGGAGGTGTGGGAATGGGAGGAGGGGTGGGGATGGGAGGGATGGGATGGCATGGAGGTGTGGGGGTAGCAGGAAGCGCAGGAATTCATGCCACACCGCCACCGCCAGCAGCAGTAGTGTCTTCCCCAGTTGTACCTTCCCCACAACCAGCAGCACCCATAGCAGCAGCAGCAGGAGCGGCAGGCATGGACAGGGAAACCCAGCTCGCAATAACCATCCTAAAGTCTCTCATCCAAGGACTCAGCACACTGCAAACCAGCATCCCTGCAACACAAGGGCCCAACCTTGTGTCCTTCAGCTCAAACCCTGTAACCCAAGGTTCAAACCCTCCGGCAGGTTCAAACCCACCAGCAGGTTCAACCCCACCAGCCACAGCAGCAGACACTACTCTCCTGCAGCAGTTCGGGCCGACTCTCAGCAGCAGCAAGCCGGAGGTATCACGTGTGATCTATGCGGGGGTGGTGACAGCGCAGCAGGCTCTGGGTGCCCATCCCCCTCGGGACTATGCCGCTCGGTTCGTGCTGCAGATGATGCGGCATGGTGCGGCTGCTGCTTATGTTGCTGCCGAAGCTGATTCTGCTGAAGCTCCTGCTTCTGCTGCAGCCACTGCAAACGCCTCTGCTGTTAATGCATCTCCTCCTGTTCAGTCTTCTTCAGGATCCAACGGCTGCAATGCACCGGCGCTACCAGCCAGCCAATCGCAGCAGATGCTCGTACCCATCGGCCAATCAGCTCGCGCGGTGCTCGAGTCAGTGGCACTGCTGCTTGACAGCCTGGCGACAAGAAAAGCTCTGCCCGACGGATCGCTGACAAGTGGCGCGTTGTCATTCGCTCGACTGATTGGGAGAGGCAGCACCAGCCACAGGAGTGAGCTTGTAGCAAACAGTACAGTAATTGTTGCGCGTTCTAGAAGTGTAGATGCTACACCACCAAAAGCAGCTGCAGACACCTCGGCAAAGTGGAATTCCCAGGTGCTGGGGGAATGGCTGGGGCGTTTCGTTGGTCAGGGCCAGATGGGGTTCGGAGTGGTTCAGGAGGCGTGCGAAAGGGTTGTGTGCGGTTCCTACAGGCGTGTATTGCTGCTGGCTGCGTTAGTGGGAGTCAGAGCATTAGTCGGAAAAAAGTTCATGAGAATGCTGCAAGAAGCCGGTGCAAAGGGGGTTCCGAAGATGGGGGTTGGTCCGGGGGAGATTGAGAAGGAAGTTCTTTTAGTGTTGAAGAAAGGTGTGGATCAGCTATTCATCCCACATCAGGTGCTCGATCTTTAATATACACACTGATCACGCCATCTAATATGCACGAACCAACGTCTTTTCTTGACGATATCTGTGTTGTGCACCTTGGTTTTCATTTTCCAGAGGTGTCATGAATTTGGTATCCGCAGTGCTTTTGTTATGAGTTGTAAAAGGAGGAAAGGGGGAATGCACGGATGTCAATAACGAATCATACAAATACAAGAACTAGGGCAATCCATAGGGAAGGACCCTAGCTAGGCACGGACCGAGCCTGGTCTAGATTTGTATGCAAGGAGTATCAGGCCCGTAAACGTGACGCTTCTCTCCCTGCTTGCATTCCTCGCGTGGTGTTCTTTCTTTACTACTTCCAGCGACCGTTTATTTTTTAGGCGGAATTTAACAAGGCCAGATCCTGACCATGGATTCGACCACGATCGTCAACCCGTGGGTGCCTCCTTGGAACAGGTCGGGATTCGCCATGCGAAATGCATGGGCATCTCGGACTGGGAGAAAACTAGCTAGTAGCTCCGAACAACGCCAGTTGGCAGCATCGAGTGTTCCCCTTCCCTGTCAGGAAGAATAGTACAACAGGGCAACGGGGGATGGCATGACGCCTCGATGTCATGCCCTGTCGAGGCGTTATGCCAAGATGCCATGTAAAAGAGTAGCGACGCGGGTTTCCTTCCGAGTCGCTCGTCTCCTTCCTAGCACACATACCTTCTCTATTTCTTGTATTATCTGTAATCTTCCTCATGTCTTCTTCTTGATTCTCTCCTATCATCTCTCTCCCACGTTTCTGGACCTACGCGTCTCTCACCTAGTTCTTCCGCCGCGTTCCTATTTTCTTCCTACGGCGCCACCGTCGCTTTGGCGGGCTTGGCCAGCCGCGCCTGGCGTGGCTGCGCGCCGTTGCCGCTTCGCGCCGTAAACTTGACGCTTCTCCTTCTGTTGCTTTGCATTCCTCGTGTTACCTGTTCCACTTCTTTACTATTTACCGAGACTAGAGGGGTCGTAGGCGGCGTTTCAGCATCTCCGCGATTTTATCACCTGTGGAACCCTAGCAAGGACAAATCCTGACCATGGATCCGATGACGAACATCAATCCGTTGGTGCCACCTGAACGCGGGGTGGATGAGAAGCAGAAAGTGCTGCAAACCGTGCAAGGGTGCGTATGACCGTTGGATTGGACCGGTTCAAGCCCAGTTCGAGTGTAGCCACGTGAGTAACGGCACTGTGATAATTGGCCTGGCTGGCCTTGTGAATACACCTCTTCCAGATACACACTCTCGCCCCCAAACAAGCACACTCTTTAACAACTCTTCGCCACTGAAGCATTTTGAACAAGCTCACACCCGAGTTACCTCTCCTTTCCCCCCTCCCTCCTCCCCCTCCCCCCCTTCCCCGCGCCCACCCCACCTTCTCCCCGCACACGCATCTCTTCTCCACCATTGCAGCATTCTGAACAAGCTCACACCCAAGAAGTTCGATCCACTCTTCCAGCAGCTCCTGACAGCTGGCATCAACACACCTGAGATCCTCCAGGTGAATTCAACAGGAAAACCGTGGTCAATTTGTTCCGAGCAAGCCACACTGTGTTACCCATCATATCCTCCTATTTTCCCTAGTTAGTTATTGCTTGAATTTCACATCGTTCGAATTTGGTCCCCACCACCCCCCTCAACCCCTTCCCGCTCCCTCTCCGCCGCCCTTGTTTCCTTGCTCTCCCAACCCCCTCTTCCCGCTCCCTTTTCCTCGATCCTGTTACCCTTCCCACCCAAACCCCTTTTGAATTTCCTCAAAGCAATTCGATCTCCTTCCACTGCATGTTTCTTTTTACCCCAAGAGAGGGGAGCGGCCTCAAGGTTTCCTTTACCTCTCACCTTCCCCTCTCTCCTCTCCTCCCCCCCCCCCCCCCCCCCCCCCACCTCCCCCTCTCCCCCTCTTCACTCAGGAGGTGATTTCACTCATTTTCACCAAGGCAGCAGATGAGCCCACCCTCTGCCCAATGTACGCTGCCCTCTGTGGAAAACTTTCGCGAGCTCTGCCCGAGTTTCCGCCGTCCAATAAAGCAGGGGGCTCAGGGGCAGGGGATGGGCCGATCTCTTTCCGCCGCGTGCTGCTCAACGCGTGCCAGGAGGAGTTTTATAACGCCGCTAGGCACGGAATTAAGGTGCGTTGTGGTGCGGTGGGGGGGTGGGATTGGGTGGGGTGAGGTGGGATGGGATTGATGGATTATACACTTGTTAAGTCGATTCAAAAAGTGTATTATTCTAACTAAAAGTGTAAAATTCGCGCTGACTGGTCTGTCATCCTACTCCTCCCCTTCCTCCCCCCTTTTCTCCCCCTCCCTCTTTCCCCCGTGCCAGGCTGGCGAGCTGCCAGAGTCACTGCAGGAAGTGGTAAAAAAACCTTTTCCCATCCTCTTCCCCCCTTTCTCCCCCTCTCTCTCCCCCCTCCCTCTTTCCCCCGTGCCAGGCTGGCGAGCTGCCAGAGTCACTGCAGGGAGCAGGCTCGAAAGTAGAGAAGGAAGGAGCAGCGGAGGGGGGAGACGGGAAGGGAGGTGAGGAGGGAGGGAGAGGGGGGAAAGAAACTAGAAAAAAGGATGAGGAGGAGGGGAAGAGGGAGAAGGGGAGGGGGAAGGAGGAGGCGAAAGGGAGAGAGGAGGAGTGTAGAGCCAAGGCGCGGACGCTGGGCATTGTACGGCTGATTGGGGAGCTGTGTCTGCTGGGGATAGTTACAGTGCGCATCATTCTTGAATGCATGCGGGTAAGTGCGGATTTCTTAGACGCTTCAGATATGCTTTTGAGGCGGCTGCAAATGCAGCCGGGAAATATACACCTGATTGTGGAACACAGAGGGTGGATTCACAGAGGGTGGTTCATGAATGTGTGCGGGTGAGTGGAGTTTTGAGACGTCTCAGCTGCGTTTTGAGGTGACTAACGCAGCTGAGAAACATACACTTGATTGGAAAACACTTCTGAGAATGCTCAAAAGTGATTCCAACATCCACACCTGATTGGGGAAATGTTTCCTAAAGGGGGGCGATGGAGAGGCGTGCTTGTCTTCTGCCCATCCCCCTCCCTCACATCCCATCCCCCTTCCTCACATCACATCCCCCTCCCTCACATCACATCCCCCTCCCGCACATCACATCCCCCTCCCGCACATCACATCCCCCTCCCGCACATCACATCCCCCTCCCGCACATCACATCCCCCTCCTCACATCACATCCCCCTCCCGCACATCCCCCTCCCGCACATCCCCCTCCCTCACATCCCCCTCCCTCACATCCCCCTCCCTCACATCCCCCTCCCGCACATCCCCCTCCCTCACATCCCCCTCCCTCACATCCCCCTCCCTCGCATCCCCCTCCCTCACATCCCCCTCCCTCACATCCCCCTCCCTCACATCCCGCTCGCTTACACCCCTTCCCTTGCTTCCCCCTCCCTCACGCCTCTCCTTCAGGATCTCTTGGGCGAGCCTGCATAGGTCCCCCTTTCCCGTGCACCACCCATTCCCCTCCCTTAGTTCCCTCCTCCCCGTTGCATCCCTCCTCCAGGTTCTCTTGGGGGAGCCAAAATCCATCCCCCCTCCCTCCCACGTGGAAGCAGCGTGTGTGCTGCTCACGATAACAGGGAAGGTGTTGGAGGAGAGGAGCGAGAGACCCCCATTGAGGCTGGAGGCATATCTTAGGCATGTGGAATACTTAGCTAAGTACCAGGGGACTGAGCAGAATCAGCTGGTAATTTTGTTTAAGAGTACACTCAGCCGATTGCACCAGGAGGGGGAGCAGCAGCAGCAACGTTTTCCTATCCCACCACCTTCACTGCCGCATACACTTCCTCCTCCGCTCTCTGCTCGCCTTCGGTCCATGTGCCGAGATCTGCTTGAGCTTCGGAGAAACGGGTGGGTGCCTCGGAAGAAAGAGGTACCGTCATCGCCCGGATATAAGACATATATGTCTTATCTCGTACACGGGCAAAAATGCTTGAGTTATCTTGTAAACGGGATGGTTTAGGGTGTCTTATAAGTCTTATAAATGGAAACTTTTTAAACTACTTAGAAATATTTTCCGTACTTCTTGAAAAAGAGTTTCTCATAATGAGTGTGGATGTTGCGAAGGTGCCACTTCGACAACCTCTGCCCGGGACGCCATGTTATGGAGAACACCTGCAGGGGCAAATATGGTAGGTCCTGGGTCAGCGCGTGGAAGAATTTGCGCTTCGCAAGGGTAAAAATGTACGCGGTATTTCAACTTTCGCTATAATTTATTGAAGTTTCGATTATAAGACATATATGTCTTATCTCGTACACACAAATAGGTGTTTTATAATGAGGCTAGCCTGTTTATAAGAGACACCCGTATAGTAGACAACCCCTGTCTACTATTCAACACTGTCTTATATCCGGGTGATGACGGTAGAATTGGCGGGAGTGGGAGGAGGGCGGGGGGGAGGGAGGGGAGGAGGGAGGGGAGGAAGGAGGGGAGGAGGGAGGGGAGGAGGGAGGGGAGGAGGGGGGGAAGGAGGGAGGGGAGGGAGTGGGAAGGGGAAGAAAAAAGCAGGAGGGAGAAGAGATGTAGGGATGGGGATGCAGTGAGGAATGTGGATGGGAGGTGTAGGGAGGGATGTAGGCAGGGAGTGATGGGGTTAGGAGGGATGGAAATGGGAGGAATGGGGATGGGGGATGGGATGCAATGGTGGGGTGGTTATAGGTGGAAAGGTGGGACAAGGAGGAGCAATTTGGTTAGGAGGGGCAAGGACCGGATGAGGAAGGTTGTGACAGGGCTAGCTCATACCTTCAGGGAGAAATATCATATCCCTAGAGAGTGATGGAAGACTGAAAAGGAATTTGTTGTAGAGGTGAAGAAAGGTGTAGATGAGCTAGGCCTCCCACGTAAGGTGCATATGATATGCATGAACCAACACTATTCAGCGAGGTTACATATTGTTGCTATTACCACCGTACAGTATACCAGTGCTGTATAGACTGCGAACTTGTGTACATACAGGACACCTGGTTCCTAAAATATCACGTCCTTTCATTGTTTCATTCTGAACAGCATTAAGTACTGGTAAAAAAGAGAAGCCTAATGCCTATCTTTTTCCTGTTTAGGCTAATCCTTGCCGTGCCCTCTACGGTAAACCATCACCAGATCCTACACGTTCAACAGCTGGCCCCTCATTCGATCCTGACCGTTGAAACAAAAACCCAGATCCCGCCCCCTCATTCGATCCTGACCGTTGAAACAAATATCCAGTCCCACCACCACCACCACCTGCAGCAGGCGACCCTAGCCTTCTACCACCACCCCAACCCCCATAGTTCCCGGGACTGCCATGCCCCCCGGGACTCCCATGGGAGCTATAATTCCCACCCCCATAATTACCGTGATTCCCTGCATTCCCCGGACTCCCATGTCCTCCGGGACTGCCATACGACGTACAATTCCCACTTCCATAACTCCCAGCACCATGGTTCCCGCTCCCAGAATTCCCGCCCACTGCTCCCTCAGGAGCAAACGAGCTAGATGAGAGGATTCTTCTGGGGGCATTTGAGATCAACGGCTGCGATGCCTTGACGGAGAGATCCAACGGCCGTCGGGGGAGTGTCGGGAGAGCAGCAGAGCCGGGGGAGGGACAGAGGGAGGGTGACGAGGGCATGTGCTGTGAGGCAATTGCAGCTGCTGCTGCAGCAACAGCAGCTGAACCCCCTGAAGATACACCTCCCCCAAAAGCACCTGAAGAAACACCTGACGGACCACCTGAGGAAAATTCCAAATATGCACCTGAGGATAAACCTGCTGGTGCACCCCCAAGGCTGTGTAGTTCTGGTGATGCAGAGGGGAGTTCTGCTATAGGCGGGAGGAAAGAGGAGGAGGAGGAGGTGGGGGAGGATGGCGTAACCATGTATGCCTGCTGCTGCTGCTGCTGCTGATAGAGTAGCTGCTGCTGCTGCGGCTGCTGTTGATGGTAAAACAGTGGCTGCAGCTGCTGCTGCTTAGGCCCGGCCCCTGTGGGCGTGGGGGAGAGCGAGCGTGGAGCATCCGCAGTTGCAGGCAGCAAGCTGAGTGCTCTCCTGGCCGCCGGCCCTCCACCACCTACACCAGCATGAACCGACTCAGCCTGAGGAGCAGAATCAACCCCTCCTCCTCCTCCGGCAGGATAGCTCTGGAAGCTGCTCATTTCTCCTGCACCTGCCGCTGCAGCTGCAGCAGCTGCTGCTTCAAGCGCACGGGTGCGGTTACCAGGGGAAGGAGTACGGTTACGGAGGAAGGTACCTCCTCCCCCAGAGGACGAAGGCGAGGGAGGAAGCGGGGGTAGACCAGCAGACCTAGGCGAGCCGGATTGGGACGAGGGAGAGTGGGCGCGTGGGGGCGTGTTGTAGCGGGGAGGGGTGTTGTAGCGCGGGGGGTTGTTGCCATGAGGAGGGTTCAAATCCGAGAGTCCAGGAGGAGGGAGAAGAATAGAAGGAAGGTCAGATGCTGCTGTTCTAGTGGCTGTTACAGCACCAGCACCAGCAGCAGCACCACCACCTGCACCACTGCTCCCCCCAGAAGCACCAGCAGCAGCACCACCACCACCACCAGAAGCCCTGCTTTCAGTGGAAGCCAGAGCCTTGTGCAGCTGCAGTGATCGCTTGAGAGATGCAAAGTCGGGAGCATGAACCACTGTGGCCTTCACGTTGTACTTATCCATTTTAATCATCGGCTGGGCCCCTCTTCCCCCCTTGCCCCCTGCTGCTGCTCCTCCTCCCATACCCCCATCACCACCGCCCAAGCCTGCTGCCAGCATGTCGAATCGCCGCCTGTTCTCAGCCATGCGGGCCTCTTTTGCCTTCTCTGCCTCTCTTGCCCTTTCCGCTTCTCTTGTCTTATCTGCTTCTCTTGCCTTATTTGCCTCTCTTGCCTTATTTGCCTCTCTCGCCCTCTCTGCTTCTCTTGCCCTCTCTGCTTCTCTTGCCCTCTCTGCCTCTCTTGACCTTTCTGCTTCCGTCTTCCTTTCGACCTCCCTCTCCCTTTCTGCCTCACTCGCCCTTGCTGATTCCTTTGCCAGTGCTGCTGCTTCCTCACTCCTTCCTGCTCTCTTGACCTCACTCACTGGTCTGCGGCCCTCACTCCGTTGGTCGGCTGCTGCTGCTGTACCTGCTGCTGCTGATGATGCTGATAATGAAGCCTGCTCCACCATTGGTGAGACAGCAGGCGCACGCTCAGATGCTGCAGAATCTGCATTCGAAAACTTGGCAGTAGATGGAGGAACAGGAGCAGTTCCACCTGGTGGGGCTTGGTTTGAGCCTGAAGCAGCACCGCCGTCCAAGACTCTCCTTGACTGCTGCCGATGCTGTTCCTGCTGCTGCTGCTGCTGCTGCTGCATTCGCCTCTGCCATTGCTCCATAATCTGTTCCTCCTGTTGCTTCCTCTCACCTTCCTTCTGCTCCCCAGCCTCCCTTTGCCCCGTCTGCTGCAGCTGCCACAGCTGCTGCCACAGCTGCCGTTGCTGCTCCTTCTCATGTTCCTGCTGCTGCTGCTTTTGTTCGTTCTGCTGCTGTGCCTGCTTGCCTACAGCTGCAAGCTCAACACTCCCAAGACCTTCACCTTTAACAGAAACACCTGCAGCAGCAGCCGCCCTACCACTGCTGCTTCTGGGGCTGCTCTGGCCACTGCTATAATCACTGCTGGCAGGGTTGCCGCTGCCAGCCTCCGCGTTCAGGCTCCCTTCCACTGACGAGTACAGAGGGTTCATGAAAGCGGGCTTTTGAGTCGATTCCAAAGCAGGATTTTGAGTCGACTTATAAGCGCTGCTGCTGGCAGGGCTGCTGCTGCCCCCCTCCCCGTTCACGCTCCCCTCCACTGACGAGTAGAGAGGGTTCATAAAAGTGGTTTTCGTGGCTAAGGAAAACGCACCTGCCTCTGCTCCTCCTCCCACTCCCAATCCTCCTCCTGTTTCTCCTGTCCCCGCTTCTGCATCTCTTACTCCTCCTACAACACCCCCCGCTCCATCTTCCCCTCCTCGCCCCCTTTCACCAGCTCCTAGAGCTCTCGTAGCCCTCAGCATAGGCACAGACGTAGCGCTAGCAGGGTCCTTGGCACTGGCGTTGCCGGTGGCACCTGCCGCAGCTGTAGCAGTTGTAGCGCTGACTGAAGGAACGGTGGATGTAGCACTGGCAGCAGGAGCGCCAACCAGGATGTTGCGTGGGTTGAAATATGTTGACTTTGCAGGGGATTCGCGGGCAGCAGAAACAGGTGCCAAACCAGAAGCAGAGGCAGAGGCAGAAACAGGAGCAGAGCCGGCGGAATCAGAGGCAGTTAGGCTGACGGAGGCAACAGCAGCAGCTGCTGCAGCAGCGGCAGCAGCAGCGGTAGGAGTGGCTGATCTCAGGAAATGCTTCGTTTGCTTTGACGCTGCATTAGTAACAGCATCAGGACCCACGGCACCCGCAGCACCCGCAGCAGCACCACCAGCCGCCGCCGCCGCCGCCGCCGCCGCAGCAGCAGCAGCAGCAGCCTCTGCATCAACAACAGCCACTGCAGCAGCAACAACTGCCAGCAGCCCCCCTTCGCCTGGCTGCACCCCACCAGCACCACCACCGTTACCACCAGCAGCAACACCAGCAGCAGCAGCAGCACGAGTAACACCAGCTCTAGCACCAGCAGCACCAGCAGCACCAGCAGCACCCGCAGCAGCAGAGCCAAGGGGCATGCGGCCACTGAACGACATCCTAGACGTGGCTCGCGCACAGGCCGCAGCCACTGCTTCCGCCAGCTCCTCCTGCTGCCTCTGCTGCCGCCGCCTCTGCCTCTCCCCTCCTTTCCCCACCCCCCCGTCCATCCCGCTGCTGCTGCTTGTAGTGCTCTCTGTGCGCTCTACAGGTAGCATGTGCGAGTGGTGGTGCGAGTGCGACCCTCGCTTTCCTTCTCCTCCTCCTCCTCCTCCTCCTCCTCCTCTTCCTCCCCCCCCCGCTGTTCCTGGTCCTGCTCCTCCTCCTACCCGAGTCAATTCACCAGCAGCACCAATGGGTAGTGCCCCCGCATGCCCTGCCAGCATCCGCCTCTCCCAGTCCCGCAGCTTACTCCCCTCATCTCCATCCCCTCCTCCACCCTCCACTCCTCCTCTCTCCAAATCCCTCCCCCCATCCCCATCCTTATCCACATCCCCATCCCCCCCATCCCCACCTTCCCCCCCTTCCAGCATCAAATCCGAAATCCCATCATCCCACTCCCCATCACTCCCCTCCCCCTCCTCCCCCTCCTCCTCCTCGCTATCCACACTCTCCTTCTCACTCGCTTCCCTCTCACTCTCAGGCCGAACCCGAGTCTGAGTCAGCCGATTCGCCCACAGCAGCCACTCCAGCGTCAAGCAACACGAAGCCAGCAGCGCCAGCCACACACCAGCAGTAATGGAGAATCCCGAGGAGGCATGGATAAGCTGAAGGCCTAGGAAGAGGAGGATGAGGGCGAGGAGCAGCGTGGAGCACCCACACACCTTGTGGAATCGCCGCCAGTGGTCCCGAAGGTGGTGGGACTCGGGCGGACGGACAATCACTGCAGAGATCTGCGGGGTAAGGGTGGGGTTGACAGGTTGGTTGGGGAGGGAGATGGGAGGGGTGAGAGACTTGAAACCTCCAACAAGCACCCGCACGCCTTGTGGAATCGCCGCCAGTGGTCGCAAAGGTGGTGGGACTCGGGCGGACGAACAATCACTGCAGAGATCTGCGGGGTAAGGGTGGGGTTGACAGGATGGTTGGGGTGTAAGATGCGGGTGAGATATTTGGGGGGCTTAAAAAATCACTTACACGTTGAGAGATTCGCCGCCAGTGAAACCATCCATACACCGTCTTTGGGGAAACCTCAGAAGACACTACAGATTTGACCCAAGAACACACAGAAACCATCCTTTCTCACCTGTAAAGCTCCAATCCAAGCCCCTCACCTGCAGCACCATGAGTGTGGATAGCAGCGCCAGCAGCACGCAGTAGCCCACGGACTAGTTTCAAGAAACCTTGAACAACCTACACATTCATCCAGCACGCACACAGAAAGCCATCCTTTCTCTCCTTTCACTCACCTGCAGCACCATGAGCATCGATAGCAGCGCCAGCAGCACGCAGTACCCCACGGACTAGTTTCAAGAAACCTTGAGCAACCTACACATTCATCCAGCACGCACACAGAAAGCCATCCTTTCTCTCCTTTCACTCACCTGCAGCACCATGAGCATCGATAGCAGCGCCAGCAGCACGCAGTAGCCCACGGACCGATGCAGCGCCTCCAGCGACATGGCAATCGTGAACGCCGCGACCGTCAGAAAGTACCCCCCCAGCTGAAACCCCTGGTGCAGCGGGAACCAGTACCGACTACGCTTCCTCACATACCGCCCCGAAACCGCCCCCACCGGCAGCATAAACGCCCACGCCGCCACACTCAGCGCCGAATACACCACCCCCGCCGTCGTCACCGTCGCCGCGTTCGGATCCACGTCGGTTTCCTTGCCGAAGTCTATCGGCGCGCTTGCCATGGCGGACACTCCGTCTGGGGAGAGTGAGTCGTTGGAGGGGAAGAACTGGGTGCCTTTGGTCCAGAGGAGCACTACGCCGGATCGCTGCCTGTGGGGGAGCTTGATGGTGAATAGGAGCGTGAGGGAGCCTGCCTGGAGCTCGGCTTTTGCGGAGATGAGTGAGAGGTTGCCGCCCCGGACCATGGCTGTTTGCTCCTGTGGTGCGATAGTGGTGGTAGCACTGCTACCGTCACTGCTGCTGCTGCTGCCGCCGCTGGTGCCGCTGCTGCTGCTGGTGGTGAGCGTGCCTGTGGTGGTGCTCCCAGTGGCACTGGCGTTGCTGCTGCCTCCCTCCTGCTTCACGATCTGATACTCCTCCACCTTCAATCCCCCGCTTCCGTCCTCCGCCCGCACTGCAACCAGCATCGAGGCGCCCACTAACGAGTCCGGCTTCACATACCCTCCCTCCGCGCTCTCATTCCCCCCCGCCGGCGCGGGGGGAGGGGTAAACAGCGCCTCTAGAAGCGGAGTCGGCGGTGGTAGCAGCAGCCCTACAGCAGCATACCCTTGGGGGGAGACCGACTGGGAAATAAACGCACCAGACAGCTCCTCTTTCCCTAGAGTCCACATGAAAAAGAACCCTCCTGGTAGCGCCTCACAGGACGCGAATTTCCTGTTTTCCCCTTCAAACGTGGTGCTGCACTGAGATAAGCCAGAAATCACCGCCCCGTCGTCCCACATGGACGGCTCGCCGGGCGGCGAGGGTAGCAAACCGGGCGGCAGAGGCGGGTAGCTGAGCTCCGGCGTGTTCCAGAGCGGTTCACAGGAGTTTGTGGCTTTAGCCGCGTTCAATGTGATTCTAATGGATCCGGAAAAGAACGCAGCAGAGGCGGCGTGTGGGAGGAGTTGCGGCAGCGAGGGGGTGGAGGACGGGAGAAGAGGTCCCGTGGCGAAAATGAACAGCAGGGGCTGGGACAGGTCGGTGTTGTTGGGGACTGCAGAGGGGAAGCTTATATCGAATCGGCGGTCAAAGAGGGGGTCGGTGGAGAGGGCAAGGGAGCGGCGGAAGCGGACGAAGGAGACGTCTGCTTGGCGCGCAGCGAGGGTGAGGTTGACGTTGTCGAGCGAGGGAGAGGAGCCCAGCAGTGCGTCCTGATGGGGGGTTGTGGTGGGAGGGAGCAGGTGAGAGGTGCGTTTATTCCTGAGAGCCTCAAACAAAGGAGACGTCTGCTTGGCGCGCAGCGAGGGTGAGGTTCACGTTGTCGAGCGAGGGAGAGGAGCCCAGCAGTGCGTCCTGATGGGGGGTTGTGGTGGGAGGGAGCAGGTGAGAGGTGCGTTTATTCCTGAGAGCCTCAAAAAAGGAGACGTCTGCTTGGCGCGCAGCGAGGGTGAGGTTCACGTTGTCGAGCGAGGGAGAGGAGCCCAGCAGTGCGTCCTGATGGGGGGTTGTGGTGGGAGGGAGCTGGTGAGAGGTGCGTTTATTCCTGAGAGCCTCAAACAAAGGAGACGTCTGCTTGGCGCGCAGCGAGGGTGAGGTTCACGTTGTCCAGCGAGGGAGAGGAGCCCAGCAGCGCGTCCTGATGGGGGGGGGTGGGTTGGAGCGACCGGAGGGAGCATATGACCGGGGGGGGGGGGGAAGGGGCAGGAGGGCGAGGAGTCTATTTTGAGGTGCCTGAAAACTAGATGTTCAGGAAGGGAGAGGAGCCCAGCGAAGCATTGCCTCGAAGAAATATGATTTAGCAACGGGACTCACCGGACACACGCCCACGTATCCTCCTGCGATCTGCTCACACGCCTCCAGCGCCGTGACATAGAAATCCGTTGCAAAAGCATCCGCCGCCCCACTCCCACCACCGCTGCTAGCACCACTACCAAAACTGCTGCTACCGCTAGCAACACTGCTGCCGCTGCTGCTGCTACCGCCGCTGCTGCTACTGCTGCTACTGCTGCTGGAGGAGAAGATTCCTGCAGCGGCGATGTCGCTGCTGTGCATGTCCGCTTGCGACTGGTTACCCGACAGGCCCAGGGCCATCCAGCTGTTGTCAGGCACCTTCCCCTCCAGCCCAAACTCCACGGCCATGCCGTTTATGGGGTCGCCCACCATGCGCCAGTAGCTGTGGAAGGGGGGTTGCGCAAAGGGGAGAAATGGGCGGGTGGGGGGGGCAAGACAAAGGTCAGGGGGGGGGAGGGGGGCGGGGAGGGTGTTTGCGGCAAAGGGAGAACGTGGGAGAGGCATGGCAAAGCTAGATCTCCGGTTGGGCTTTCACGAGGGAAAGCCGAGAGAGACATTGACCTGCTAATCGACCCCTTCTCACGACCTACATGTTCAGCCGGCCCTTCTTCGCGGTGACGCAGTTCAGCCGGCAAAGGCAAGGGGAGGACCGTGAGAGAGGCATGGCAAAGGTAAGTTTCCAGTTGGGCTTTAACGAGGGAAGCCGCAAGAGACATTGACCGTCTATTCCAACCCTCCTCTAGACCTACATGTTCAGCCGGATCTTCTTCGCAGTGACGCAATTCACGAACCCCAACGCCGGGGACGACTGATGAGGCGCCTCAAAAGTCGAGAGAGAGAGAATAACCAACAAATCGAATCTTCCCTCAGACCTACATATTCAGCCGGCCCTTCTTCGCAGTGACGCAATTCACGAACCCCAGCGCGGGGGACGCCACGGGCGGAGGGGGAGGCGGAACGGGCGGGGGCGGCGGCGGCATGACCGGCGGCGGCGGCGCCAGCAACCGGTTCTCCTTGGCATACTTCAACACCTGCTTCCGCAGACTCTCGGAAGCTTCCGTTGCGCTTCCTGGCAGCAAATCTACCCCCCCAGCACCCTTGCCGCTGGCACCTGCTGCCCCGCCAAGGGTAAGGCGCCTGGGAAGCTGCAGCTGCGCCAAGATTTTCTGTAAGACCCCCGCGGGAGTGGTAGTGACGAGATAGAGAACGTGTATGTTATCCCACGTGCGGCCTTGGGAGCCGATGTGAACGGCGAGGAGAGGGGAGGCGGAGGAGGGGGTGAGGGAGGAGAGGGTGGGGTCGAGGGGGGAGGCGTAGGAGAATGGATCGTCGCCAGCTATTCCCCCCCAGAGGGAGAGAGAGGGAGTGCTGTTGGCTGATTTCAATCTGGAGGGGAAGGGGAATGGGGGGACGGACGAAGGTGGAAGAGTGGGTTTGAGAGGGAACTTCTGCAAGGGAGTTTTGCGGGAAGGGTGTTGCGAAGAGACTAACGTGTGAGCGGAACAGGGGGGGAATATTGCGGGGAGATAAAAAGGTTGCAGTGAACTCACGAGAGCGATGAGAGAGCGAGGTAGCAGTCGTCATACACCGTCACGAGCGCAGACAGCTGAATGCGCGGGTGCAGAGGGCTGAACGCGCCTCTGAAACCCACCACGGAGTAATTCCCTGACACGCCGCACGGCGCGTATTTTTTTCCCGAAAACTGAACGGCTTCTGCGCTCGGTAATAGCGACGCGTTTGGAAGCCATGCACTGATAGAGAACGCAAACAGGGCTACTAATAACCGATGACTCAGCATCGGGTGCACATGTGGCCGATGTTGGTGCGGTCCGGATGAAGCCGTTCCTTGCTTTTTCCTGAGCGCACGCCATATTGATCTAACTTCTGTGCGTCTTTTTTTGCTGTTCGTGCATGTACAATCCCGTGATGCTGCTGTTGCTGCGACTTCTGTCGCAACAGCATCAGCTATAGACAAACCCATTCTGCTATTGCGCGTCGTAGTCTACTGCGGCGCGCATGTTCTGTGCACTGATGGTCATACTCTCGCACTGGTGCGACAATTAGACGCCGTCAGATCTGGTGGTTTAAGGTTCGTGGATGGCACGGAGGAGAAAAGCTCCAGCGACGAGGGTAGCGTGAGACTAAACTTGATCAACAGCTGGCGTCTCCCCACGAAGCGTTACGGAGTCGCGAATATATTTTATCCGATACAGTAATGATCGTAAAGCGGATAATTATTCATTAGTCGTAAACTGGACCACCCTAGCAGTCTCTAATGCCCGGGTTCCCTTTAAAGCGGCAGGTTGCTAAACCAGGATTATAAGGCTAGCGAACGAGCCTAACAGACCCTTATGAAGTAGCCTTACTTGCTAAAGACGTCGGTTTGGAGGAAAAAAGGAGCGAAAGAAAGAGGAGAGAAGGACAACGGGAGGTCAAGGAAGCACCCCTGAGGGCTAGGTGGACACCAAGGAAACGTGCCAAGGCCCTACGGTCTTGACGGAGAAGCTTGTTCAGGGAAGGTGAAGGAACCACGACGGGTAGTACTAGTCACCACCGATGAAGCATAGCACAGCAGAGTGGGATGAACATGAAGCGCAGTGCACAAGAGCGTCTCGCTGGCTGATTGTGAAGTGATGGGGGAGCTCAAGGATGTGACCGTTAGAGGAGCTTCCAGGGACAAGTGCAATTGGCGGGAATGGTTGTCAGAAAAGGAGCAATTTCCGTGAATTGGTGGTCACCCTGATCGGGCAGTTTACTCTGTTCAGAAATTTTAACTCATCGAGATTTGTGCCATGCAACACGTGGAGATAGAATCAAATTTTGAGGAATTCCACTAGTGAGATTCTAATGAAAATTTTATTTAAGGTCATTATGAAATTTTTCCCAGGTTAGGGCGAGAATGAAAGGTAGCACCAGCTAAACCGCGGCTCGCTTGAAGTGTTGGGATGGCGCGCCTCGTTGGTGGCTGGCCGATTGTGATGCGCCAGTGCCCTGTCACCTCGCTGCCACTTACAAAAGAGCCGCAGCATCTTATAGAGTGTAGATCAATGATATTGAGCACCACACACAAAGTTCATAACGCGTACACTTTCTCACCCACCATTTCCTCTACCTTCTCTGAAATGTCATGGAATTCTCATGCCAGTCTCCTCGTCTGTCATACACCCTCGAAAAGCCAAAGAGAAGCTTGTCGACTTCTCGATTTTAGCATTCGAACATTGCAGAATTGAGGAACGGTTCTCGTTAAAGCCCGAGTCCCAAATTGCGAGGCGCGTGGGTCATGCTTTTAAAACTTGACGAAGTGCAGTGTGCAAGCTTTGAAAAGTAGCGCACCTGCAATTTGGGACTTTCGGGTGCTGACACAACCGCCAGGGCGAAATACGTGGGCTGGCTGGGTTTGGCGAAAAAAACGAAACGCCCGAAATCAAAATCACTCGCCAAAACCCATCCCAGAAAAAACCCCTCGCGTCATCCTTTTAAAACTTGTGCAATTTGGGCTTCCGGCTTTAAATAATTTTCCAGCCGAGTCATGACCTGCGAAGTGTTCGAGTTGAAAGAGCTGGTGGGTGATGGCATAGTGTCTTGCTTCACAAAGAACCACCGAAGCTCTTTCAGAAAGAGTTCTCTTAAAAGCAGAGTTAACACCTGTGCGGTCCGTAGCAATATGCTTTTCAGTTGAATTCTATTATGGAGAGTCTGTTCTTCTCGAATTACACGCATTAAACACAGTTCTTGTCATTTCGTGCGTTCACCTTCCGTTCTTACCTGTCGCCAGAATGTTCCTGCCGATAATATTTTTTCTCGACGTGTGGTCGTGTTCGGGTCTGTCTGTGCCTGTGCGTGTGCCTTTGTCTGCGCTTGTGCGTGTGCCCCCCCTCCACGGCCGATGTACTTGCATGGACCTTGTTCCCTGACAGCTGCTCGAGCATTACCAAATCCGTGAGGTCTTACGATGTGAGTTGCTTCGCACTCCGCCGTACCACTCGCCCTTATTTTCTCCCCTTCCCTCACTCGTTCCTTGCCTTCCCAATTCCTCTCCTAATCCTCCCTCTCTCCCTTTCCCGGCCTCCTCCACACCATCATGTTCCATCGGGCTCTGTTCTGTGGCGCCTCGGAAATAAATTCCTTTGTTCCCCCCTCCCAGCATTCCCCGAGGTCTCCGTCACCCAATCTTGTTCCCTGAGGGGCCTCAAAAGCAGATGTTTTCCTCTTTCTCCTCCCCCTTCTTCCCACTCCCCTCTCCACCCCATCCCCCCCAGGTCTGCTCCACACCATCATGTTCCATCGGGCACTGGGTCTCGTGCGGCCCAAGAGCATCGATTCAGAGCTCTTCGACATCACCTATGTGAGCTTGCCCTGCCAAGTATCTTGCTTTCCTTATTATTGCACTTCCATTCTATGCTGATGTGTGCTCCTTTTTCTACCTACCGTTGTACCTGTGGTCTCATTACCTCCATCCCCATCTGTTGCCCTTTTCTTCTGCTGCTGCTTCCCTTTCCCCAGGTGCAGTGCGGGGATGCAGAGGTGGAGAGACAAATAGAGGAGAAGATCGGACAGTTTAGTCTATGGCTAGAAAAGAACCCCACCAAGAAGGGACAGGTAGGTACTGCTTGATTAGGAAAGTAGCTTAGAAAAATATAATCAGTTTTTTAGAATTTTGTCCCCAATTGCATGCACATTCAACTCACTACAGCTTTGTTTCTTTAGCATCCTTCCATCATTCCATCCTCCTGTCTCCCCCCTCCCTGCTCTACCAGATCTGCCTTTCTTTCTTTGAGAAGCGCCGTCCAATCACAAGCTCCAGCTCATCAGCCACGTCATCTGGTGGCAACGCAGCTGGCACAAAATCTGGAAGCAGCAGCAAAACCAGCAGCACCAGCAGCAGTAGTGGCGGCGGCAGTGGCAGCAGCAGTGGTGGCAGTGGTGGAGGCAGCACAAGGAAGGACGCAGCAGCATCATGGTTGAGTGCGAGTGCCGCCCGATTGAGCCTAGGATCAGATAAGATCACGTGGGAACAATGGATCATCCCTGTCTCACTCCTCACCTCCCCTTCAGGCAGTGCTTCTGGCCAGCCCTCCTCCTCCTCCTCCTCACCTTCCTCCTCCTCCTCCTCCTCTCCTGCACACGCCAGTGCAGTACACACCACTGCTCCCACCACCACTGCCCCCTCCACCACTGCTTTCATTGGGACACTGCCGTCCCCATCACCATCACCATCACACTCATTTTCCCCCATGGCTAATGCTTCTGCCACCAACTCTGCTACCACGTCCAGGCCAGCTACTGGCCTGTCAGTTGCGTGGCAGCATCACCAACAGCAGGGGCAGCAGGGGCAGCAGCAGCAGCAGCAGCAGCAGCGCAGTTCGCAACTAGAGGCGGATGTGAGGGAGGCGCTGCTTTCGATTCTCACAATGGCCAATGAGAAGAGAGACCATCTGCCTCCAGTCCTCACGTCCTCCCTCGTCTCTTTCCCCTTTGAAATATCAGTCCCAAGGTGTGTAAATTCAGGATTATTCATCCTTGTCCCAAGTATCCCAGTTACCTGCAAAACCATTTTTCTCCTGGCTGCGTGCGTTCTCACCATTTTTGTGTGTGTGCATTCTTATGTCTGCCTGAGCAGCATGTCAGACTCCTTTGGAATGGATGTGTTGAAGAGGATGTTGCAAACAGCACATCATGTTCTGGGATAACACTGATTGTTGGAAAAACCTACTTTTGTGTTCTTGTACATAGCATGTCATGTGGGGAAATTATATGTATCATAGCATGTCATGTGTCTGCTTCATTAGTTGGAGTAGAACTCTCTTAGTTAGTCAAAGGAGCTTCTGGCCAACATCAAACCCATGTCTAAAGAGAATGAAATCGGAAAAAGCGTAACCTAGTTGCCGGTTCGTCGAGCTCGGTTACCGCAATGGATGTCCGTGACGGTGCACATTCCTTCGACAATCTCTCTCGCACAGCTCTTGTAAAACCTGCGTTTTCTGATTCTCGGGGTGGTGAGGTGACTGAAAAGCTTCACATTTCTCCCACACCATCACTTTCCACTTGGATAGCGAAACCGAGCCGCGCCCGTGTGTGTACCACCCAGTGATCTAGTGGTAGCTCCAGTGTATCTCTCGGACCATGTTTTTACAGTAGTACCTTTCGCCATTCTTCTGTGTCCGTTCGCGAATCCACACTATTCATCATGGTAGCTCGTCGCGTGCTCTCTCCGTTACCAGCGCTCGACGAAGCGTCGCTCGCGGCGCTGCTGCAGCGGCACGGGCTGAAAGAGTCGCACAGCCGGACGATAATCAGGTTAGCCTTGGACAATGAATGCGCTTAGTCCTTTTAACCGCGAGTTGTCTACCGACCGATTCTAGAGACGGCACGGCTGTAGCAGCACAGTCTGAAAGAGTCACACAGCCGGAATAAGTACTTGTCAAATGTGAAGCGTCTTAAAAAAATTCGTCGATTGGCTTCTTGTTTTCGCTCGTGTGTTTGCTCGTGTTTTCGTTTCTTGGTCTTCCCGTTTTCCCGTGCCCATTCATGTCGTCAATTCAAGCGGACCTGGGTTCGCGGACCGACACTTCAAAGCCCAGTCTCCATACTCGCTAATGAGTACCTCGGTCCGTCTGTCTTTTCCCGTTTCCTTATCCAGCCATGTCATCAGAACTCGTGGCTTGGGGTCGTGGACTGACATTCCGAAGCTGCCTCAGCCTCTGTACTCGCTACTGCAAGATTCGTTTGTAGCCAGCACGTCGGAAGTCGTGGAGGAGAAAACCTCACAGGATGGCGAGACGATAAAACTATTGATAAGGCTACAGGACGGGTTGACTGTAGAAGCGGTGATTATGCGTTACGATGCCTCAGAGGGACGCTACAATGGGGGACAACGACCTGGGGGAGAGAGAGCCACGCTCTGTGTGTCTTCTCAGGTAGGCCATGCATGTTCCCTAGTTCAGTTCAGGATTGCAGTCATCGATGTGGGAGAGCTGAGCAGCAAGAGCTGAACAGCAGTCATACTTTTGAGACGTCTCAAAGGATGAGCAGCAGTCATAGTGGATTGAATCCTGAAAATTCCTATAAGGTTTACGAGATTGGCCTTTGAGAAGTCTTCAATCTGAACCCATATATCTCCCATCCCATCCACCCATGCATGCGTGTATGACTGCAGGTGGGGTGTGCCATGGGGTGTTCTTCTGTGCCATGGGCACCATGTCTCGCCCCTGCATGGCTGTATAATCTGAACCCATACATCCATGCACCCATGCTTCTGTGTATGTATGCATGTATGACCGCAGGTGGGATGCGCTATGGGCTGTTCTTTCTGCGCCACAGGCACCATGTCTCGCCCCACCAGCCTCACAGCTGGGGAGATTGCTGAGCAGCTGCTGCTGGCCTCCCAGCGAGTGCCCATTCGGAACGTTGTCTTCATGGTACGTGCAAGGCAAGTGCATGGATGTGTTTGGAGTAGGTGCATGCATGCGTGCATGTGCCACGGGCACCATGTCTCGCCCCACCAGCCTCACAGCTGGGGAGATTGCTGAGCAGCTGCTGCTGGCTTCTCAGAGAGCCCCCATTCGAAACGTCGTCTTCATGGTATGCCTTGTGTGCGTGGGCATGCATCCGTGTATGCATGTGTCCGCACACATTACAGTAAGTGCATGTATGCTTGCATGCTTTAGACCCACCATGGTCCATGTCTCGCCCTACCAGCTTCACAGCTGGGGAGATCGCAGAGCAGCTACTGCTGGCCTCCCAGCGAATGCCCATTTGGAACGTTGTCTTCATGGTACGTGCAAGGCAAGTGCATGGATGTGTTTGGAGTAGGTGCATGCATGCGTGCATGTGCCACGGGCACCATGTCTCGCCCCACCAGCCTCACAGCCGGGGAGATTGCCGAGCAGCTGCTGCTGGCGTCCCAACGAGTGCCCATTCGGAACGTTGTCTTCATGGTATGCCGTTGACGCTGTGTGTTTGCGATGCATGGTACGTTCATTTCGTGCATGCATGTCCCACCCATATGTTAGGTGCATCATGCATGCATGCACTAGGTACATTATAGGTGCATGCATGTGTCCATGTTGGGCTCATAACTGGTCCAATCTTCGAGTCGTGTTTTGAGTCGACTCGAAACACCTCCATGTTGGGCTCATGACTGGTGCAATCTTTGAGGCATCTCGGAAATAAGTGCATTCATGCATGCCGCCCGCCCGGTGTCTCTCTTCTCTGCTCAAACTGCACCGCCCTTCCCCTGCTTCCTTCTCTCGTTCCAGGGCATGGGAGAGCCTTTCAACAACCATGCAGCAGTAAAGGCAGCTGTGGAGCTGATGGTGGCTCCACACGGCTTCCACATGTCGCCCAAACACATCACCGTCTCAACTGTAAGCGCTAGACAAATTTCACATGTGTCCCATGTGTCCACACAAGATCGTCCACTTTAGGTCCCATGCCTGCCTGCATTAACATGTTGCATTCGTTGTTGTCTTCGTCTTGCTCCACACTCCCTCCCTCCCTTCACACACTCCCTCGCTTCACACACTCCCTCCCTTCACACACTCCCTTGCTTCACACACTCCCTCCCTTCACACACTCCCTCGCTTCACACACTCCCTCGCTTCACACACTCCCTCCCTTCACACACTCCCTCGCTTCACACACTCCCTCCCTTCACACACTCCCTCCCTTCACACACTCCCTCCCTTCACACACTCCCTCCCTTCACACATTCCCTCCCTTCACACACTCCCTTCCTTCACACACTCCCTTCCTTCACACACTCCCTCCTTTCCCACAATCCTTCCTTCCACCCACTCTCCTCATCAGGTGGGTGTGCTGCCTCATATCAGTTCCCTTGTCTCCGCCTTCCCCTCACTCAATCAGGTTCCCACATTCCCTCCCCTCCCCACACTCCTTCCCTCCGCCTCATCAGGTGGGTGTGGTGCCGCATATACGTTCCTTCGCCTCCGCCTTCCCCTCAGTCAACCTAGCTCTCTCCCTCCACGCTCCATCACAATCCCTCCGCGTCTCCATCGTCCCATCGGCTCGAGCCTATTCCCTGGATAAACTTATGGGGGCTGTAGACGCGTACCAGAAAGACAGGTACAGACAGTCACTCACTGAACTCATGTGCCCCTCACGGTCCAGTTTCCACCAGTACCCACATGTGCCCCTCACGGTCCAGTTTCCACCAGTACCCACATGTGCCCCTCACGGTCCAGTTTCCACCAGTACCCACATGTGCCCCTCACGGTCCAGTTTCCACCAGTACCCACATGTGCCCCTCACGGTCCAGTTTCCACCAGTACCCACATGTTCCCCTCACGGTCCAGTTTCCACCAGTACCCACATGTGCCCCTCACGGTCCAGTTTCCACCAGTACCCACATGTGCCCCTCACGGTCCAGTTTCCACCAGTACCCACATGTGCCCCTCACGGTCCAGTTTCCACCAGTACCCACATGTGCCCCTCACGGTCCAGTTTCCACCAGTACCCACATGTGCCCCTCACGGTCCAGTTTCCACCAGTACCCACATGTGCCCCTCACGGTCCAGTTTCCACCAGTACCCACATGTGCCCCTCTCAACCCCTCCATGTCTCCATCATCCCATTTGTTCGAGCCTTGGTTTTTTTTTTCTTCTTTTTCTTTCTTTCTTTAACTCCGACGTTTGTTGATGAGTGTAGAATCGGGCATCTGATGCGTGCGCCTCAAATGATGACGGCCGATTGGGACAGGAACTGTGAAAGAAACCTCAAGGAGCACACATTCATGTTCACCAATAGCCATCTACTTGTCTGCTTCTGCAGCGTTCGGCAAGCATTTTTTGCCTACATCTTGCTATGAGGGATCGGAGAAACCTATGTATTGCAGATTGGCCAATTATCTTTTTTTTCAGAGAGATCCTTTTTTTCTGTTTCCCTTCTCATGTGTGTGCAGTGGGCGGCGAGTCTTCATCGAATACATCTTGCTAGGAGGGGTGAAGTGAACGACAGCATCAGTGTGGCACAAGGGACAAGTTCTAGGAGCCTCAAAAGCCTTTTCTCTTTGCGCGTGTGTGTGCAGTGGGCGGCGAGTCTTTATCGAATACATCTTGCTAGGAGGGGTGAATGACAGCATCACTGTAGCACACGAGCTCGGGCTGCTGCTGCAATCACGCAACGTGGTAAACATCCAGTCATGTGTGTTTCCTGCATTTGCAGTTGCATCCGTCTCTGCCATCTACCACCCCGCATGTCTCGATTTCGGCCATGTGCTGCTGCTGCTATTACCAGAATTGGAACGTCTGAAGCATCTACCTATTCCTACTGTAATCCCTTTCCGTTACGTTCTTCCAGGTGGTGAATCTCATTCCATACAATCACACGGAGGTGGTAGCAGATTATCGGCCATCCACTCCCGAGGCTGCTGAAGCGTTTCAGAAGGTGTTACGAGGGAGCTACGGGTTACGAACCACCATCAGGCGCGAGAAAGGGAATGACATTGCAGGGGCATGCGGCCAATTGGCAGTTAAAGCCCTGAAGAGTGGGGGTTTAGGGGAGTCAAATTTAGAGGAAGGAATTATTGGAAGGTTGAGAAGCAAGGTTTTGCCGAGCAAAACATGTGGCACTGGTACTGGTAATGGGAGTGGGATGGGGGAAAGAAAGGTTTGTGGAGGATCGACTGGTGGTAGCTTGTTGGACATTGAAGACATGGGCTGACTGCATTGTGAATTAGTTGTGTGTTGTTTTTTTTTTTTTTTTTTGATACGGAAAAGTACACTAAAAGGATAATGTACAAAAACGCATCAGGCAGTCGTAACTGTGTCTGGAGGGAAACGCCGCAGCACAATGTACCGCAGGTTCCCTATAGCGAGCCTACGGTGGCTGATGAGTCATCTTCGGGTTGTTCCAGATGGAGCTAAAGCTGTCCCTCCACGTCAGCGACACATCCTTGTTGCATATTCGCCTCATCACCCTCGCCTCATCTGCTTCCATGTAGCCCCAGTTGTCATCCCTGACAGCCACGCCTTGCTTCCGCGCTGCCACTTGCCTTGCCAGGCAATACACCCTGGCGTGCGCGACAAACTTTACCACCGCCAGGCGTATCACCTTCTTCGACTGGAACCTGATGTCCCGACGGCTTGCGTCACACCTTGCTAGCCACACCTGGTGAAGTGTAGTAGCAATGAAGGAACTTTCCGGAAAACCGGACTTCGTGCTTCCCTGCATGAAAAGAAGGTCCTCCAAACCCTGCCAGCTCAGCTGCGGATTCATCTCAGCCAGCCCCCTTCGTAGGAACCGAACCACCTTCTGAATTGCCGGGCAGCGGGGCAGGCAGTGCTCCGGTGTCTCCTCAGCTTTGCAGTGTGGGCAAACCACCTTGTCCTTCATAAAGAAAAGTCGCTCCCCCACTTGCAGGTTCCTACAGTGCAGCCTCAGCAGAATTTCACGTGCCCGGGCAGGGGTGGCGAGAGAGTCCCTCTGCTTGATGACCCTCTCCCACTCAATAACCCTCCCATCTGTCAAATTATATATATATGCTTGTTTAAATTATCTAGGCTGTATGGGGGTTAGCACTAAGGGGTACACAAACTTCCTCGATACCCTAGTCTTGTACCCTAGCCTTCACCTAATCCATCATCCTTGCCTTAGTTTCTTAACATGGTAACTAGAGCAGGAGGTCTCTAGGACCTACGAATCGGGCCCACCTAACTGCCTGCCTTGCCTACTGCTCGCGCGCGCCTCGGCGGCAGCGCGCGTCACTTATTTTTTTTTCCCGCGCGCGCCTCGATTTCTAGCGCGCGCGTCTCTGATTTTTAGCGCGCGCCACTGCTGTAGAGCCGCGCGCCGGTCCGCGTTGCCCGTGTAGCCCTCGTAGAGCCCGCGCGCCCCTTACGCCGCCCGCGCGCAGCCTAAGCAGAGCCCACCGCACGCGCGCGACGTAGAGCCCGCCGCCCGCGCGCGCGCTGCCCGTCGCCACGTGCAGCCAGGAGCCGCGCGCAGCACGTAACCACGCGCAGCAGAGAGCCACGCGCGGCCCTTAGCCGCACGCAGCCAGCAGCCGCGCGCGCCCTACGTGTGTACTTGCCTGTGAGGCTTACTGCTGCCGAAATCACTGCCTTCGAACTGTACGGCCTGCCACTGTCTAGAGCCCCACCGTAGGAGCTCGGGTACGGCAAGCTACTGCCCTGCACGTTGCCTGTACTGCCTACTGCCTAAGTTTTGGCCTTCTGTCTACTGCCTACTGCCTCGTGTCTACTGCCTGCCTGCTTTCTGCTGCCTATGCCTACTGCTGTTATGACGACGCCTAATGTTCTCGCGTTCGAACCTGACGGTCGCCCCATAGAGTTCACTGTGTGGCTAGACGACCTGCAACTGTTCCTTCTGACCGATGCCAAAGAGGGCGTTTCACTGTTCGATTACGTGTCTGGCACTGCCGTTGCTCCTGCTGCTGATGCTCCTCCTCTCGAACGCTCGCAGTGGCAGACTCGCGATGCTGCTGCACGCCTAGCTATTAGGAACCATCTGCCGATCACTGAGCACGCGCATTTCAGCCAGCACAAAACTGCTAAGACACTGTACGACGCTGTAGTTGCACGCTACTCCTCCCCGGCCACTGCAGCCATAGGTCGGCTCATGCTACCCTACCTGTTCCCCGACCTTTCCTCGTTCACCACTGCTGAGGACCTCATTTCTCACCTCCGCGCTACTGACACTCGCTTTCGTGCCGCCCTCTCAGCCGAGTTCTGCGCCGCAAACCCCCCCCCGATGTACTTCACTCTCTATTTCCTCGTTACGCGCCTCCCTGACACTCTTAGCTCGGTCAGGGACCACTTCCTAGCGCTAGACCCCCCCACTCTCACTGTCGACGACTTCGAGAAGCACCTCCTTGCAGGAGAGAAGAACATCCTCGCTGTAGGTGCTGCTCGTGGCACTCCTCGCTCTCCCCTCTTTGAGGGGTGCTCCCCCTCCCCTCTCACCCCCTCCTACGCCTCCGCAGCTGCTGCTCACGACTACCTTGGTGCTGAGGAGGTCGGGGCTGCTTCCGCTCCTAGTGGGAAGCGTCGCAGCGGCAGGGGCGGTGGGGGCGGCGGTGGAGGCGGCGGTGGTGCAGGCGGCGGGGGCGGTGGAGGTGGTGGGGGTGGTCGTGGGGGTGGAGGGGGTGGAGGTGGTGGTGGGGGCGGCGGAGGCACTGGGGGCAGTGGAGGGGGCAGCAGCGGCGGTGGGGGAGGAGGGAGCGGTAGTGCCAGTGGTGGTCAGGGCCAGCAGCAGCAGCAGCAGCAGCAGCGTCAGCGCCAGACCCCCACTTCCCAGCAGCTTCTTGACTGGTATGCCGGGCGTGGGGCTTCTGGGGGTCCTGGTCGCTGCCCCTATATCATCCGCACAGGTCCCCGTGCTAATCGTCAGTGCACAGGGTTTCACACTGAGCAGCGCTGCTCCGCTCGACTTAGCGACGCCTGGCGCGCCAAGTTTCCTGATGCTACTGAGTTCCCCAACTGGGCAGACTTGCTTAGGCGTGATGTACCAATCTTTGATCTTGACTATGAGGCTATTCTTGCTGCTATGTATGCATTGACTGTTAGTGCTGAGGGTGACTGCTACTTGTGTGTGCCGCCTGACCCAGGTATAGCCCCAGGTATAGCGCCTGTGGCACTAGGTGCTTGTGAGTCTGCTCCTCCTGGTACTGCGTCCGCACAGGCCTTGCACACCTTCACACTTGACTCTGGTGCTTCCCGCCGTTTCTTTCGCGACAGCACCACAGTCACTCCCCTCCCTGCACCTGCTACTGTCTCGCTGGCTGACCCCTCTGGGGGCCCAGTACTTGCACGGTCTTCCACTGTGCTTCCGTGTCTGGCGGTCCCGTCTGGTGAGCTGTCTGGTCTCCACCTCCCCTCGTTCTCTACGAACTTGGTGAGCAACGCTGTCCTTCAGGATCACTGGGTTGACACCTTTACTCCTGGAGGACAGCGTGTGGCGATCTGCACGTGCTCTCGGACCGGCCGTCACCTGGCCACGTTCACACGTGCGCCTGGGTCTAGTCTGTACACCCTCACCACTGCGTCACGCTACACCCCTTTGTCCCCCCAGCTGTACGCGTCTGCTCAGGTAGCTACCCAGTGTGAGTGTCGCCGCCTGTCGCACGACACTCTTCTGTGGCACCACCGCCTTGGTCACCCCTCCCTGCCTCGCCTTCGTCGCATGCACTCTCGCTACCTGGTCTCTGGCCTTCCTGAGTCTCTGCCTGCCCTCCCTCCCTCGTCTGCGCCGCCCTGCATTCCTTGCGTCGAGGGGCGGCAGCGCGCCGCTCCTCACTCCTCCTCGTTTCCTCCCACAGAGGCTCCCCTGCAGACTCTCCACATGGACGTGTGGGGCCCAGCCCGCGTCCGTGGACAGGGCCACGAGCGGTACTTCCTGCTGGTGGTCGACGACTACACGCGTTACACCACGGTCTTCCCCTTGCGCAGCAAGGGGGAGGTCCCTGATGTTTTGATCCCCTGGATCCGCGCTGTTCGTCTCCAGCTCCGCGAGCGGTTCCGGTCGGACTTTCCTGCCCTGCGTCTGCACTCTGACAGAGGTGGTGAGTTCTCTTCAGGCCTCTTGGCAGCATACTGTGCGGAGCACGGCATCCGCCAGTCGTTCACGCTTCCGGCCTCTCCGCAGCAGAATGGGGTTGCTGAGCGCCGCATTGGCTTAGTCATGGAGGTCGCTCGTACCTCCATGATCCATGCGGCTGCCCCCCATTTTCTGTGGCCGTTTGCGGTCCGGTACGCCGCGCATCAGCTCAACCTCTGGCCCCGTGTCTCCTTGCCGGAGACCTCGCCCACACTGCTGTGGACGGGGAAGGTTGGCGATGCGTCGCGTTTCCGGGTCTGGGGTGCTCGTGCCTTTGTCCGCGATACGACTGCGGACAAGCTCTCCGCTCGCGCCATTCCCTGCGTCTTCCTTGGCTTTGTCCCTGACGCGCTTGGCTGGCAGTTTTACGACCCCGCCTCGCGCCGTGTCTTTCCGTCTCAGGACGTCACCTTTGACGAGTCCGTCCCCTTTTACCGTCTCTTTCCCTACCGCACTGCTCCTCGTCCCCTCCCGCCGCTCTTTCTCGCCCCAGGTCCTCCCCAGGTAGACCCCCTCCCCACGCCAGGTCCTGCTCCTTCAGGTGTTTCTCAGGTAGACCCTCCCGTGCCTG